GTTACAATGTAAGATTTTTGCCTTGATAAAAAAAAATTCTTTAAATGGTAAAATAAAAAAAGAGCAGCTGCATTTTGTTTCATTTTCCTTACAATAGCGTGTTTTCAAATTACATATAATGCACAATATGTAGTATATTAAATACATGTTTAACTTTAAGTATACAAATCCTCCTAAGCCTGAGCACTGAACCTGTGTCAACTCACCCCCCTGTGTAGATGCAGCTAGATCAATGGAAGAATGTTCCGTCAGTCTAGCTACCATCGCTCGATGAGGTGGAGCTCTACAGTGATGGAAAAACCTCTTCTGTTGCTGAAGGAATCTTCTCCGGTCCAGCGCTACAAGTCCATAACGATGGTGCTGTAACTGTGCCACTGTGGCGCCCATATGGTAAACATGGCCCCAGTGTTGTCAATAGGATTATTCATATGCTTAAAGCTAAACACATGCTTAAAAAGCTTTTTTGGATCAAGGTTAGAGTGCCCAGCACTTACAGAATCAAGCCCTGCGGAAGGAACTATGGAACTAATTTAGAGAAGATGTAATCCTCCCCAAGATGGATGCAGGCTATAGGGCTGCAACTCAATAACTACACATATGTCTGGAGTGGATTTGGTTTCCTAGATCATGTGGTCTCTTCTCCAAGTGCACTGATAAGGGTCAGGGTAGAATCTCCTTCTGCACGGCCACTGCATCTACACCAACCAACCTGCTGCACATAGACACTGACTCCGTGGGTGCTCTGGGGCTGGAGCACCCATGGGGAAAAATTGGTGGGTGCTCTGCACCCACTTGCAGCCAAGCTCCCCGCCCCACCTCGCCTCCACCCCTGAGCACGCCGCTTCTCCACCTACCTCCCAGTGCTTGCTGCCTCAAAACAGCTGTTTCGCGATGTAACAAACTCCGGGAGGGATGGAGGAGGAGCGGCAAAGCGGTGCACTTAGGGGAGGAGGCAGGGAAGAGGCAGGGAAGAGGCAGAGCCAGGGCAGGGATTTGGGGAAGGGGTTGGAATGGGGGCGGGGCAGGGGTGGAGCTTGGGTGGGGCCGGGGGCAGAGGGGGGTCGAGCACTCACCAGCGCCAGCAGAAGTCGGTGCCTATGCTGCTGCATAGACTCACCATGAATAGGGTGACCAGCTAGCAACGGAGAAAAAATGGGGGGGAGGGGTAATAGACACCTATATAAGAAAAAGTCCCAAAAAAGGGACTGTCTCTTTAAAAATGGGACATCTGGTCACCCTAACCATAAGCCTA